GTGGACTTCAACTCCCAGAATTCCCCAGCCAGCTTGCTGGCTGGGGAATTCTGGGAGTTGAGTTGAAGTCCACACATCTTAAAAGTTGCCAAGGGTGAGAAACACTGGCCTAGAGGCTAATCTTTTCTCAACATGGCACCCTCCAGATAATCTGTATTACAACTTTCATCATCCCCAGCCAACATGGCTGATGAGAGGCTGCAGGTTGGGAAATGAGGATGAAAGATGGTTATAGGTTTAGGAACTTGCTTTTAGATCAAGGCAACACATGCCCACTATCTAAAACTGTTGCCATGAGCTTGTTTTCTTTAAAAAGATTCTCCTTCCTATTAAGATCTAGAAAAGAGGTACTTTTTTGTTGCCTGCCTTTGAGGGTGCTAAATTGCCACAATCAAGAGAGAGAAGGGCTTTACTGTCATGGTCACCATGCCACCTTCCCTAGGACTTTGCAGGCCCCATCATGATCAAGTTTTAAGAAAGTCTTAGACCCGCTTGGTGACTGTGACCTTATGGCAGATTCATTCATGGTGAAATGAACCATGATTTACTCCATTAACATTGAACCACAAGCTGAGTTCTGACAACACATTAGGCAGAAATCTGGTTGGCTAGTTGTGAGCTAGCCGGAGTTTCCATTTAAAGTCTTTGTGTCTTGCCCAGAACTTCATTTGGAAGTGGGGTAGATTTGAACTTCTGTAGTATGCCAGCCTTCACGCTCACTTTAATGTTGATTTTTATCCCGATTACATATGCAAGCTGCTGGGAAGAGTTTTATTGCTTAGAGAATTTCTTTTTGAGTAAACTATACACTAAACTAGGCATTCTTTACTTACCTTTACACAGAGAGGTAGAGCTGCTCCTTGGGGGAAAAAAGATAAGCCATTTAACCCTTTACGGGAAAGTCTTGTTGGACCTTGTTGCACCTGGAGCCAATTAGCTTTTCATGATGGCATGAAAGCACGTTGAAGGCTGAGCTAATTTCTGGAAAATTGGACTTGTTTTCCTTTTGACAGTGCAGCGCAAAGGTCCTGATTTTTTCTGGAGGTCCGAAAAACAGAAGAGTTTTAAATTCTTGGGATCCTCTCAAGCACTCTGAAAAAAACCACAGAGGTTTTGGAAAATGTGCAGGGGGTGAGGGTGGTGGTAGGGTGGGACAGGGAACTTTGAAAGCTCTTCCATTCCACCCCTGCATCCTCCCTCCACCTCTGAGTTTTGGACTCCACCCATTTCCTCCGAGGGAGGGGGCTGTCTTGGGGGGCTCCGCCCACTAGACAAATAGCCATTTCCAGTCCTAAAGGCCCTTCGGTCTTTTGTGGCTGCCTTCCTGCAGGGAAGCGGGGACTGAAGCCTCATCTGATGGCAGAGAGCAGGAGAGCAAGAATAGCTGCCCAGGAAGCTCTTTTCCGGCTGCTCGCTGATCCTGGTTAGTATCCCTTCAGTCAAAGAAAGAAAGAAAAGAGGATGAGAAGTAGGACAGGTGGGAGAGCTTATACTAGAGGTGTTCCCCCCTCCCTTGGAAAGGCTGCTCCTTGGTTTTCTGCCTGTAACTTAACTCCTTCCACCCCAGTAGCTGCTTGCTGCTCCAGCTCTGTGATGTTAGGTACACATCTGCCCCAAGAAGGAGGCTCTCATTTGGGCAACCTGAAATTACCTTCCCTGTGCCCTGCCCCTTCCATCATCCTCCCTTGTATTTTTTCCTTTTCTTCCTCCAGGCACCCCTTTTCTTTTTCTGCCACCATCCTAAGTGGGCCTTTTGGGTTGGCTCCCCCCCCCTTTACCCTCCATGTTAGGAGTTCATTCTTGGAGTTTGCCCATCCCTATTTCCTTCTCAATCCATTACTCCAGATCCTCTTTCTCCTTGCAAATCCCATTTCAATCACCTTGTTTCAAGCCTTTGAATTCCTTTGGCCTTTGGAGTATCCCAAGAACTTGGCTCTGGACTTTTAGTCTGGTTGGTGTATCTGCTGCTTGGTGGGAATGGTTTGGAGGTGGTAGAATTTTACTTTACTCAGTGGGTCCAGTAAAGTTACTCCATATAGATTCAATACTGCTCTCTTTTGTTAAACGAAGGGTAAAAGGGAAGGTTTGGCCTAGAGTGGCTGTTTGGTGAGTGTGTAAGTATGGGAGGGGGGAATATAATGGTAGCCATTGTAATTAGGGATTAGACTAGTTGGCCCAGTGTGGCATTTGGTATGTTGCTCCATTCTTATGGTAATCTCCAGTTTAATGTCCTCTAGTAGTGTTGGGCAATAATTTGCTAGTCAGTTTGGGAGACCTGTGAAGTATGTGATAGAAATTGTAGTCCAGCACATCTGGAGGGTACCAGGTTGGGGAAGATTAGTGTATGCATTTACTAAATGTGCCTGTCTTCCTTTTTGATGTTGCTCCTAAAATATTTTAAGTCAAAACATGATAAGCAAAAGTGAAAATAAAACCATTTTGCTCTTTGTAAATTCCAGTTGGTTGCTGGGTGGGTGGGGAGTCAAAGGAGGGACCTTTTTCTATAGTCTTATTTTAAATATTGTGACCTGTTAATTTTTAGATTTATACATTGCTTGCAGAAATAGTGAAGCTGCTTATAAAGACACTGGAACAAATAAGATAATACAAACAGCTTTTAAAAAAATAAAGCAACACTACGTTTGCCAGAAATTTGGATATCTGAATGATTAAACAACAAATTAGAAGAGATGGAATAACATGGGCTGGATGAAATGTTGGCCAGAATTTTAATTTATTTTGCCTTTGTCTTAGCAGCTAATCAATTGCTGAACAACAATAACCATGATGATGAGGAGGAGGAGGAGGAGGAAGAGGAGTCTGAAGGCCCGGAAGAGTTGCGGCCAGGTACGTCTCAAAGCGCACCCAGAAGGGTCAAGCCCTTGACGAGACGGGTAACTCCCAAGCAGCCAAAGATCATTCCAGTGGTGAAGAAGGATAAAGCCACCCAGCGTGGTCACGCACTGAAAAAGAGTCTTGAGAGACGTTGCTCAGATTGTACGAGGACCCTCCATTCCAGTGGCAGAGGCCGCCAGCGGAGTGAAGCGAACGCTGCTCGGGAGAAGCCATTCCAGTGCACCGATTGTGGGAAATGCTTCATATGGAGCTCCCACCTGGAGCGCCACAGGCGGATGCACACCGGGGAAAAGCCCTTCAAATGCCTCAACTGCGGGGAAGCCTATAGCCAGAATTTTCACCTCTTGCAGCACAGCTGTGCCCAGCTGATTGAAAAGCCCTTCAAGTGTCCTGAGTGTGGGAAACGCTTTGCCCAGAGCTCAGCCCTGGAGAATCATCAGAAGGGCCATACAGCAGAGAAGCCCCACAAGTGCTCTGACTGTGGGAAATGCTTCATCTGGGCTTCCCATCTCGAGCGGCACCGGCGGGTCCATACCGGAGAGAGGCCTTTCAAGTGCCCTGAGTGCGGAGAGTCGTATAGCCAGAGTGCACATTTGGCCAAGCATCGGCGTAACCATATGGGCGAGCGCCCTTACAACTGCCCTGCCTGCTGGAGAAGCTTTGCTCAGATCTCTGAGCTGGAGGAACACAAGAAGACCCATCTGGGCTGTGAGGACTGTGGCAAGGTCTACCGGAGTCGGCAGACCCTGATGCGACACCAGCGGGGACACCACCGTGAACGCACCCATCTTTGTGAAGAATGTGGGAAAGGGTTTGTGTGGGCCTCCCACCTTGAGCGCCACCGTCGGGTGCACACTGGGGAACGCCCATTCCCCTGCCCCATCTGCGGGGAGAAGTTTGCCCAGAAGGTCCATCTCCTTCATCACAACAAGACTCACTCTCATGCCCGGCCATATAAATGTGGGGACTGTGACAAATGCTTTGGGGACAGTTCTGCTTTCCTAGCTCATCAGCGGGGTCATGCCATGGAGAAGAACCACAAGTGCCAGTATTGCTCCAAAAGCTTTGCCTGGAGCTCCCACTTGGAAAGGCATCAGCGTATCCACACAGGAGAGAAACCCTACAAATGCCCCGATTGCCCTGAGCACTTTAGCCAGACTTCCCAGCTCTTCAAGCATCAGCGCAGTCACCTAGGCAAGAGGCCGTACAAGTGCAGTGAATGTGGGCGCAGCTTCAGCACCACCCTGGAAGTCATCATCCATCAGCGGACCCACTTTGGGGCCAAGCCCTTCCGGTGCTCCAGCTGTGGGAAGGGGTTCACCCGTCGAGCCAACCTGCTCAAGCATCAAAGGAGTCATGTTAAGGAGTCCCCTAAGGAACATTTAATTGAACCGAAATGTGAAGGGATAGGTTCTCCGGTATTTAACAATCGAGAATCCATGCAAGAGAAGGCTGTTGCAATGTTCTGAGGTGGTGGAAACTCCAGTACTTGCTCAGCAATTGCAACAGGACCAGGTGCTATGAACATGGAGGAGAGAGGAATGTTTTAGGAATCACCCAGGACAGTTGGAAGCTCACAGAAAAGTCTTGGTGGAGAAGTATGGCAGACACCAGCACATGAAAGAAGATCTGTCAAGGTGACAATAATAACCATGTCCATTGGTAATGAGGATCCTGATGTAGAGTCCATGTGGATGACTTTATTTCACATTTAGTTGATACTGTACATATAAATATGCCCCAAATTTGGGGAAAGAGCTTTATTTACTGTTCATCTTTACCTTATACATTGGAAGCCTTGCCTTGGATAGACCAATTCTCTACCCCCACAATCCTTTTTATTTTGAAACTCTGGATAATGAAGCTTTAACAAATGCTGAAGACTGACCTCCAGACCTTAATATGCCTGACTGAGACTTTAATAAATGCTGTGGAAGTCTGCATGGGGGGCTGAAAATGAACATTTTTAAGCCTCTTGAATGTGGAGAAAAAGCTTTATTGACTTATCTTAAAGAACCTAGACATCTGAGGCCCTGTGCTGGCCAGTTGTATTTTAGTGAATATCATAAAGATTAGATGGTACTGTAGTACCTGAATATCCAGAGACTTAATATCAAACTGTTGCATTCTTGATACACTGTGGGGGGCTACATGGGCAAATCCCTCCCTATTTTATTTTTTCTTGGTTCTTGGAATCCTAGCTGTTTAGTTTCTGCTTAACTAGTTTGGAGAGAAGATGTCATCCACACCCAGAAATACCTGGATTTCTTTTCCAACATTAACTAGAGAATGGAAACACTTGACCCTTCTTTAGCAGTTGGGAGTGTTGGCTTAATGAGCCCCAGTCCACCTGGATACATTTGGTTTTGGTGCTTTAACCTTGGGAGTTCTTGACAGATTGGTCACAGGGGTTCACATGCAGGGAAGTGGGATGGGTTAACCAAGGGAACCATGGGGGAAGTCAGCACAGTTGGGGATGAGAATGCCAAAGGGTGCAGCGTATGGAAGGAAGGAAATAGATAGGTTCCAAAAAGATCCAGATATGGGAATGAGGAACACATTTGTGGATAGTCTACGGATGGTGGAAGAAGTTCAGAGGTGCCAGTCTTTTGTTTTTCAAGAAGGTTAGAAGCTGGTTTCAGGCACTGATCCTGTGTCAGCTGTGTAATTTTTGTTTCAGAATTATGAGTGACATTTATGAAGGGCATATCCAGGAGACCTTGACAAACACCACCTTGTGCTATAAAAAGGAAAGGAAAAAGGATTCCCAGAAATCTTGGATTGTGCAAGTGTAAGAGGAAAAGAAAGCAGAAGATGAGTTTAATCTGGAGAAAAGCAGGCTAGAAGTGTAGTGAAAGCGGCACAAAACTCAATGGGAGGGAGGGAAGAGCTGTGCAGGGTTAAGCTCTAGGATTTACCACTGAAGCATGATGTCACTGCGGTTGGGGAGGAGAGATGGAAAAAGGCCTTGCTGAAACATGAAGTAGCTTGGAGTTTGAGAGAACTTGCTTGGGAAGATAGGTGAGGGCTTACTGCTCACTGAGGCTATGGAAAGTGGAACTCTGTGCATCAGGGAGGACTATAGGCATGGAGGATGGATTGGAGGGTTCTCAACCAAATCCACCCTTGAGTTCTGATGGCTGGCGAAGGCTACCCTAAGTCTGTAAGGCTACGATGAAAATGGAGAGAGGGTTGTCTTCCCAGTTGCTGAAGTTGTGAATTGTTATTTACCCAGCTGCTGTACTTTCCTCAGATCCTACCTCAGATTCGTGTTCTAGATGACAGGCTGGAAGAATCCATCTTGCCCTGCACCCTCCGTGGCATGCTGACAGAAGAGATGCCCAAAGTGGGATGGAAGCCTGACCCTGGGGAGAGTTCAGTTTACTGTAAACATGCTGCGATTCTGCACGTTGGGGCACTCACTTCCACAACACTCTTTGAAACACCAAATCAGAGGATTAATGTAGATGGATGAGCCCTGGTGTTTTAGTATAAGGTCTCTGTAACCCAGTCTGTTTCTGTCTATGCTTCCCAAACAATTTCCTTTGTTATGCTATCACGTTTCCTTCAGAGGTTTATTTGCTTTATTGCTTTTGGGGTACCTGTTTGACATCATATGCTTCTCCTGATTTTGTTCTTGTCCCCTTCCCCAAAACCTTATTTGTTTTTGTCTAAAGCAAGCATCTTTCTGTTTTAGGACTTCTTTTCCCAAATGACTAATAGAGATAAAAGAGTTTCTAATATCTGATTTTCTTTGTTGATGGTTAGGAGTAATCAAGTAAAAAAAAAATTGTAGCTTATGTAAGTCTGGTTTTTCCACTATGTGCTATACTCTGGGGTTTACTTCTATCATTTTAGTAGGCTGTGCTGGATGTTTTCAGAGGAAATTCAGGACAGGAATAGTATTACCTGACTATCCTCTCTAGCCAGCTCCAGAATGCTCACTTGGGCTAAATCGGACTTTTTTTCTGGAATTATGACTTCCAGAAATTCCAGTGAATGTGTTGCCCGGCTTATTCGTGGAGCAGTTGTCCTGACATTTACGGAAGGCACCAGGCCCAAATAGCTGGGCTAAAAGATTTGTGGCTTTTTAGTTGAAAAGGAAAGCAATTAATTGGGGGGATGGAAAGAGATTTATAAGATCAGACAGGGTGGGGAGAAAGTGCCCTTCCCCAGACTTTTGGCCCCGCCAAACCAAGTCTTGTGGTATTCAGCCAATACGGCCATTACACAGTGAAACCAGTGGATTGTAGATTCAAGACCAGCAAAATCAAGACCAGCTGCCATACAGTGTGATGGTGTCTAGTGTTTGGCATTTGGTGTAGCATTTATCTTGCTGAATCCCAAAGTTATGGAGGGAATCAGGCGATGGAGTAGTGTTGCTTTGCACCTCATGTCAGGGTTTCCCAGAAACATCTGCACATCCATTGTGGGAATGGGGAATTGGTCTAGCTAAAATGATGGTCTGATCCAGCAGGGATCTTGTGCTCAATCACATGGTGGGTTGGGAGATTTAAGTGCATTTCCAGCCAAATTGGCAGCCATCCCTTCAGCCTTTGAACCTGGTGAGAAAATCTGGTTGGAAAAAATACCTGGAGGAAAAAAAAGTAAGCCTGGGGCTCTTAGCAGTGCTGGGAATTGAGCTTGGCTGGGTCAGTCCTTTGAGACTGCATGGGAGGAGGATCTCAGAAAAAAATCTTAAAACAATAAGCTTGGGTAGACAGCTCCTCATCCAGACAGTAATTTCTTCCCAAGTTTGCAGGATCAGATTGCAAGCACTAAAAAAAACCCCAAACCCTAAAAAGGACAACAGGGTGGAAAGTGAATTTAATTTACAAAGTCCAGACCCTGCTGAGCTTATTTGCTAACCCACATTCTGTTCCCAGGCAGTTTTTAGGATTTTAAGGGAGATACTAGAGGTTTTCAAAGCTAACCTGCTTCCTTCAACTTCAGAGCTCTTTGGTGTCTGTTATGGTTAAGCTACACCTTCTGTGGTTAGTGTGTGTTAAAAAAGGTGGTGTTGCTTAAATCTCTCTGGATGGCGGAAAGAGTATTAAATTTTAAAATCCAGCTCTCCCTATACATTTCGTAAAGGAACCAATTTCTTAAGGGAACTCTGAATTATGCTGAGGGGGTTGACTGGAGCATCCTCTGAAAGCTTCATAACCAAATGAGTCTTCATCTATCCTTCTGCCACTTCCCCAGCCTGGCACTCTCCAGGTAGGCTGGGACTGCTATCCTAGAAGTCTCCACCAGGTTGAGGAAGACTACCTTACCCTATTGATTGGTAGGTTAGGAACCACAGCAAGTTAGACGCTAAAATTCTGGATTACAGCAGTTACAGCCTGTTTATTGGTTGATTTTCTTTTCAAGGAAAGAAAAATGGTGACTTAGATGCCAAGGATGGTCAAGTTCCTGAATACTTTTTCCTTACAAAACATAATCTCTGTGCCCTGCCTTTCCATTCGATAACTGGGATGGTTACAATCTTCCAAACAAAGTAGAAATATACAAACATCTTGAACGACCGATGTCTGTAAGAGCCATATTAAAAATCAACACATGTACTAACAGAGAGGATCAGATCAAGTTGTGAAAGAAGCTTGAGCTGGGGCCACAATCAAGCAGCCTTCCCCAGCCCTCCCAATTTGTTGGGATACGGCTGTCTCAGCTCCTGGAAAGAATAGTGATGTTGCTTGGGGCTGTCCCCACTGAAATGCTGGCTCCTTCAGGAAAGTCACCTGCATCCATGTGTAGGAAAAAGTGATACACTATTGGAGGTTGCACTCTGACCTTTATTTGGGCTGCTGTTTTAAACTATTCCATGGATGATCTGTGTGTGTTTGTGTGTGTGTGTCAAGATGCTACGCCTGAGTGACCAAACCTTTGGAAATAAAAGAACAATCCTAGAAAAAGTTCAAATAAGACAGTTACTTTGCAGGTCACAAGAATTTGAAATAGGACTTCAAGGAAGTACTTTCTGAAAGATCATGAGCAGAAAGGTGGGAAAATCCCCTGATTTGAGGTTCCAGATAAAACAGCATTGTGAAAATTCTTCTTGCATTTTTCAAGGGGAATAGTATTGAAAGTATGCTTATAAAATAAGTAGGGCTAAAGAGAAAACCGGCAGAATATCAGAAATACTTAGTTACAGCAAATAAGGCAGGTGAACTGGAAGCAGGATACTTGAGAGAGAATGCACAATCAGTTTCCAATACCTAGCATTGCAAAATGGATGTTCAGAGAAGATCGTATGGTTATTTATTCAGTCCTAAATCTGCCCATGAAGCTAAATATGGTGTGTTTTGCTTGGGCCAAAAGCCAACAGAAAAAACAGGACTTTTGTTAGGTTCTCACAAAAATGCTGCCCTGTATGAAGCACTTCCCACATGATTCTGAGTTGGTAAATACATAAAAATGCAGAAGTCAATAAATTGTATTCCTCCCTTTCCTTTAATGCTATAGTTTCCTGGGTCATATATTGTATGTGTTTTCTTTCTCTCATGAGCTGATGGATGCCAAGGAGGAATTATTCTTAGACACATACAAGCAAGGAAGCATTTGTGTGAAAAACTGATACCAGTTGCTAATCCTTTGTTAATAGACTTGGAAACTTGCCATTTAAAAACTCGAATGAGAAGTGACAGGTCATAGTGGAGTGATGTGTACTGAATCCTAAAAGGAGGAAATAATTTGAAAATTTCCATTCTAGACAGCCAGAGAGTTTGCAATCAAAACTAGTCCTATAGCTCAAGCACACTGTGTGCATTTAAATCTATTCTGCTTCCCTGATTCAGGCTTTTAATACCAGGAACAGAGAACTAAAAAAAGATAGGAACCAAGGAAGGAGACAGAAAAGTTTAAAAAAAAAGGCACCTGGTAGGAAGTGTGTATGCTCTATCTTTAAAAAAAACAGAAGATTATACTTTAAAAATGAGTCTATGTCTCCATCACCCACATTCATCCTGAAAAGATTGGAGCTTTGTAAATGGTGCAAGTTGGCCTGTTAAGGGGTGCAACTTTCAGCTGATCACAATTTGCTGCTAGGGGAGGGGCAGAGAATTTGAGAGGTGACTGGGGTGTGTGTGTGTGTCTGTTTGCAATATCCAAGTCCCACCAGCAGGACTGAAATGACTGCTACAACGTCCTCCTTAGCTTTTTTGCAAGCTATTACAACTGGAGCCTCTGTTCACTTTTCTGATGACAGGTGGCCCACCTGGGAAACACCAGTCCTTGGATGTCAGCAGGGCCCTGGGAGGGAGCCCTTTTTGAAGTTGGGTTTCCATTGTAGAGGTGAGTGCCCTTCCTCCAATCTCAGAGGAATCTGGGCGAATGCTAGAACACCCTTCTAGGCACCATAGACCTGCAGCCTCCATTTTAAATTGGAATTTATTTATATCAAAATTAGAGGTGCGCAAAATGTTGAATTTGAAATGTTTCAGAACACTTCCTCTGCAGTCTGGACAGCCTATTTTGAACTCAGATCATTTGGGGACTGAATGAATGTTGCACGCCTCTACTCAAAAAGTGTTCTGGCAAATCAGTCAGTAGATCAAAACTAAAATTTTAGAACAAAATTGTGCCAAGCATCATGCTGCAGAAGAGGAATACCTCTTCTAAAAGGATACCTGATGCAATCTAAAGAATTCCCTAAAAAAGAAAAGTGTGCCTTTAAGACTATTCTCATATGTAAATCAGTTTATGCAGATTTATTTAAAGGAAAAAATTAATTTTGTTATAACTGAGTAATGGTGTCTTCAACTTGATGCTGTTTTGGCTTCCATGTAATGTTTCTTCTGCCACTTGTAGAGAAATCTTCTGACTTTTCTAAGATTTCATGCCAATCCCATTGTATGGACTAGATTTTTAGCTGCTTTAAAATAAAAGGTTGCCCAGGATTCAGCATTCTACAGTCGAACAAAACAAATGGCACTTTAGCAGAAAACACGCAGCTCTGGTAATCAAGAGTGATTCAAGGCCATGATGCTGATTTTCTTCCCGTGATTACAATATCCAGAATACTCTAGTTCACTTTCCCTGAAGAATTTACTGACATCAGGAAGAATAGAAATTTGCTCCTGAATTAGAAGCAGAGCTTTTTGTGATGCCTCATTTTGCGCCAGACCGCTCCAATAGCCCTGCAGGACAAATGTGCTGCTTCGTCTGGTTTTTGGTTATTACTTACGGATACAGAATGATTACACATATATCTGTATGCAGGAGTCATTCCGTGTCTGGCTATCTCAGGAAAACAATAAAACCAGTCCACGTTCATTCTGGGGATGTTCCATTTGTTATAAAGGTTTAGTTCATGATTGATCAGTATTGCGTGGAACACTCTACAGAAGCTGCAAGATGCCTCTTCTGGAATGCCTCCCTGTGATTTCACCTCATAATGTCCTTTGAAGGAGAATCCTCTTCCTTTGATTTGTGGATTCTTGTTCCAAGGACCAGGATGTAGGCTCTGGAGGATACAGCTTGTTGGGTGGAGTTCACTCAGCCTCAGTTCTGTATGGTGGCCATAATATCAGCTGACCTTACTGCTCTGTGTGGTGGAGCAACCGAGGAGATCTCAGCATTCACTGGATTGATCACTTTTGCCTGCCTCAATGCAGGATCTTCAGTTATCTTTTTTCTAGTGGGAACTGTAAGTAGCAAAGGAGAGGGGAATTGGGCTGGCTGTAAACTAGGATTGAGCTGAGCCTTCTAACCCCATGGTTCTAGTTCTCTTTTTCCTTTCTGCTCTCATACATCTTCAAGGCTTTTTGTGAGTGGCTGGGCTCACATATACTAAG